ATTTTTTTAACACATTTTGGCTTAGTTCTACCCTCTCTCACTCACTGTATCCCATCAACCCCCCCCCCATATAAGGTAAAACATGTTAACAATCTAATCTGTTTCTTTCTAAATTTTCTCTATGCCCATATACATTTATGTGAATCCTCCCTATGTATATATACAGATAAACGTACATATTTAGGGTTTTTGTTGTTCTCTTTTTGGTAGTTTTGCTTGATTAAACGTGAAATCATTCTATGCATACTGTCCTGTATCTTTCTTTTCTCATCCACCTAAGGCATGATGTTCCGTGGTGTGGACGCACTGTGATTTATGCAGTCACGCCCCATCTTGAACGCGTTGAAGGGCATCCATTTAGCTTCCAAAGGTTTCTCCGCACACTCCTGCCCAGCCACAAATAGTGATACGATAAGCATCTTTGTTCCTATGTCCAGACTGATGCTTTTATTTCAGTGGGATGGATTCCCAGGTATGGGATTGGCTCTAAATTTTTAAAATGGATTTTTATCAATCTAATGGAGTGTGCTGATGAGAGCCAAAATCTTGATAGAAACACTCAACCGAGAGTGAATTTTTTAGATGTAAAAGTGGATGGTAATTAAGCGCACACACATTAAAAAGAGTAATTTGACCAGCGTTATCACAGTAGTAATTGATTATAATGTCTGGAAGACTTTTAGATTCCAATATTTGAGGGTGGGGAAGCAGGTGGAAACTCTACCAGTTATGCCCACAGATTTTGCACACCAGCATTAGGGAGTAGCTTAGCTTATCTTTGCTAGTGTTGTTGTAGGAGGCACATCACTAATAAGTATCATCTTGGATGCCAAGCACAAATGGTCAGTGGCTGTCCGGACTGTGCGGTGGACCGGGATGCCGAGGCTGAGTCCAGGCTGGGGCGTTGGGGCACCAGGGGACCCTGGTTGGTTGGTTTGTTCTGAAGGGTACGGTGTGTGGGAAAGCATCACGCATCCACGCATTCACTACTCCTGTAGCAGAGTGGACATTTCACCCTCCCAAATCTCAGAGGCGGATAACGGAGCGTCTGTGACGTGGACTTCCTTTTCATCCAAGGCTTCCAGAGGCCCAGCATTTGGAAGCTCAGTGAGGGTCCTGGTCGTGCCCGATGGGTGAGCCATGAGTTTGCATTTTACCAAGGTGTTAGCAAGTAGAAGGAACCAGAAGAGCTCAAAATAAGTAATAGCATGGGGGGGCTCATCAGAGCAAGCAGCACAGGCTGCAGGATTGACCTTATAGGGTGAGAGAGAGAGAGTGCTTCCAGACCCTTCCAGAAACACACTCCCTCAGTCTTGGGGGAGAATTGAGTTACTCTGTTTAACTGCACAGCAATTAAATGATTTCCTTGATTTAAAATGTTTGACAGCTTCCTTCCGTAACATCATTCTTGATCCCGTTGGATCTTGGAAGGCACATTTTGTGCATCTCCTCTGCTTTTAGGTATTACTTTTAACTGGGGGCTAGTAAGTGGTGATGGGAAGATTCCAGGAGTGTATCAGAGTTAGTGGAAGGTGGGAGAGGCAGAGTTCTGATGCCAGTATCTGCCAGCTGAGAGTTAAACTGGGTGAAGCACCTACGGTTTAGGCCTCCTCTTTTGACACATGGGCAGAGTTCTACTTTAGTCACAGTGCTGCATGCAGCTTAATGAACTAAATGTGCTAACTTACGTACATTTTGAATAACTATTAACTAAAGAGATGGGATTCATCATAATTGGTTTCCAGACTGTCCGGTTTGTTGGTGTGGTCGAGGTGCCTACCTTTACAAGTGTCCTTTTATTTCACTAGTCTTTGCAGAGTCCTTCTCAAAGTATTAAGTAGTATTTAGCTAATGGTTTAAAAAAAAAACCAAAAACACCTTTTTTAGGGTTAATAAATGCACAAGAAAAAGCAATTTACCCTAAACTCTAAATCTACGAAAATTGGTGCGTATGTGTGTGCACGCACATACAAGAGTGTGTACTGTTTAGCTTGTAGGGTATGGAGGATTGTTGAATTCTAATGGTGTGTATATAGTTTTGGTCCTGGAGAGGGGGAAAGGGAGCATTTGAAACTCATGACAAATTTTGCAAATTTGGGGGAATCTGAGGTGCCGAGAGGTTAATATGCCAGCAAGTCACCTTTTAGGGAGTGGTAGGGTTGACTGCAAACCCACAGCTGTCTACTCCTAAGCCCCATTCTTTCTGCGTACAGAAGACTGCAGGAGAGTGGGGAAGAGAGAGAAGGCATTCTTTTAAATTCAGACGTCGTCTGAGATTCATTCACTTTGGTGTTATTCTCTTAACTAAGACAGGAAATAGATTCATGAAACCTGGAAGTAGCTGAAAAATGAGGGCTAGAATTTAAAAAAAGAAATCCAGTTAAACCAGGCCACCATTCTGGTTCATCGAAGGCTCGTTCTGTGTTAAAGAAAAACAAAAAGCCTCATTCTTTGAGTGTTTCTTAGACTTAGCTTTTCCCTATAAGTCGCCTCCATTCACACTTCTGGAAGTTTCCTTCTGTGTCGAATGGTGGTAACTCACCCAAGTCCTGGGCTCTGACTGCAGTTTCTTCCTCTGTCTCTGATGTCACTCCTCTTATATGACCTCCAGATCTCTCTTCGACTCCCTGTATTACCATTAGAAGACATCTACACTGGGAAATCGCTCAGTTCCTGTTTTTGATTAATATTTTATCAGCTGCAGGAGGAAATGGTATTCTATAGCAACACTAATAAGTAATTGAGCAGATGAGATGTCCCTGCTAGCTTTGGTAGAAAGTACGGGCAAGGTTACAAGCGAAGAGCTCGGGATAATAAAGTCAGGTGTCTGAAGCGAATGTCTGGTAGGGTTAAAATCTAACACTAGTGTGCACAGGAGTCAAGCACTAAATCCTTCCCTGAGCAGTGGCTTACCCATTTAATTTATTGACAGTAGTCATTGCTACAGTAATAATTACTACCTTCATTGAAAGCCACATACCTAAAGCAAAGGAGCTAAAATGTTAATTCACGTAGTATTTAATATGCACCATTATGTATAAATTCAGGGTTATTAAGTGGACAGCTGTAGACCGGATACACTGCAGAACCCAGCAAAGGCTGAGAATTCCACTCGCCCTACTGTATTCAAATCGTTCACGAAGAGAGGAGGTACTATAGCCAGCAGTAATAATACCATCCGGTAATTACCAAATCATAAATGTTTGGGGAGCTGAAGGTCACGGGCTTAGTAGCAAGTGTAGTCTGTCCTGACGCATTTCAAATGTTTGCATTCTATATCCGGGTGGTGGTATTTTAATTCTGACTGGACAGTCTGATGGGAGGAAAAAGAGTTATTCTTCCCTATTTATTTTTCTTCATCTTGGGTGAAAAGCCTTTTTGTTGTTCGTAATGTAGTGGGGACCAGCCTTCAATAAATGGAAATGATTTCAGCACATCAGTCAGGCTTCCTTGTACAGAGACGTTCCGTTTTCCCTCATATGTGGTGTCCGGCACGGGGTGTCTGATTTACAAGAACATGACCCTCGGGCCATCAGAAAACGTCTGCCTGTGCTCTCCCTGCAAGAGGCCAGGCCTCCTGGGAGGCGCAGTGTACAGCCAGGAGCAGGACTTTTAGGCCAAGAAATTACAGATAAGAGCATGTCACCATTTTAAGAAATACCAGTGGATTTTTTTTTTTCTTTCCTTGAGTATTTTATTAACATTTGCTACTGTACTCAAGCCCAGTTCACTTAGGCTTGTGTTTCTCGTGCATCACATGGGAACTTTCGTTAAATTGTGGCAATTCCAATTTGTGTGATTATCAAGCTGACATCAAATAACGCAAACCGTCTTTTACTCTGCAATCCTCACTTTGGAAATCTCTGATGCATTTGGGCTGGCTCCCTTCTCTTTATAAAGTTACCATTTTTATTGCTAAGGTAATACCTTACCTTACGTTACCATTTTTATTGTTGGTTTTTAGGGGAAATTGTCATGATACGCCTGACATGGGAACCAGGCACAGCCGTTAGGGACGTAGCCACATATGGTACTCTTTTTTTGTTGTTTAAAACTTTTCCATCACTTTCCTCTCAATCTCTCTCTATTAAAATTCCACTTAATTGGTAACATGTAATTGCTTAGAGAGTCCACATTTGTCCTTTAATGAATTATTAGCATTTTAACAAGTAATATTTAATATCTATTAGTGGAAGTTAACATACATGAATTACTTAATTTCTTTTGACAACACATATGTTTTCTTATCAAGCCAAACAGAAAATATTTGCCTACAAGAAAGAGTCGTCGTGGTTCTTGCTTTGCAGTCAGGGACCGAACATGTGAGTAGCAATGCCTCGCAGCCTCCACTGCATTTTGCAGGGGACAGTGGTGAGGAAAATGCCAACAATATGTTGTTTCTTTTTAAACAGTCTTGCTCACTCCTAGGACCCAAGAGGGCCAAGGGCAGTGGTGTGCTGCAGTGAGCATTTAACTGCCTGGAACGTATCACAAGGTGTACAAAGGCCACATCTTCCAACTCCTCTTTCTGGTGTCTGGGCTTGAGACTCACCAGAAGTTTCAGGAAGATGAGTACTGCTTTAAGAAAAAGGTCTGAGGGAAAAAATATAATTCTTTTCCTTCTAACTGGAGCTATAAAAGTCATATAAGCGTGATGTATCATTTGATTGGAACATTATATTTTATAGTCACAGAGCCCGTGTGTCATCAGGTCTGTCTCTGACGTCCAGTAGGCGCTTCTGGCCTTTGTGATTTTGACAAAAGTGCTTCTGTGACAGTGTTCTGGCACCTGTGCACATGGCCCTGGGTGTGAATATACGCTTCCGGGTCTGTGCTGGAGCAAAGGGATGGAGCTCAGAGCACCCGGAGGAGGGGTGGGCCCCACTCCACCAAGAGTGGAAGGAGGGACTGGAGGCAGAAAGGAGCAGTAGCAGGAGGCGGGTGCAGGGCCGGGCTAAGGCGGCTTCTCACCGCTTCAGGCCCCCTTGCTACCTCGGTAGCCTTCAAGGTGCTGGTCTCTCTGGATCCTTACATCCGGAAGCGTGGCGGCACTGAGCCATCCTTCCTCTGACCGTCGTGAATAAGGACACCAATGCAAGGGGTCAAATGCAAGCGACTCCTCACAGGTACCCATTGAAATAGGAGAGGTCCCAGCACCACTGTGTAATGTGCCAGACCCAGTGCAAAATGAACATGGGAGGTTCCAGCCAGGGGCGGGGAAGTTAATCTCCCCTTGCCCTGGGCCCAGCATCCCAACCTTGTGTGGACAGGTGTCCTCCCAAGGACTGCAGCCTCCACTCTGGAACGTACTTGGGACCTGGATTAGCATGTGCAAGAGGCCCTTTTCCCAGTCGTCAGCCAAACACAATGTGGTTCTGTCAGCCCAGGACAGGGCAGGGCTGAGGTCATGCCCTCTGGCCGTCCCCACCTCCAAGCCCAGGCTCCCTCCAGGAGTGAAGGGCTGCAGGGCGTTTCGTGTCTGCTGCTGGGGACGCTTGGGATAAGGGTGACAGTGGTCCCAAGGTGGGGCTGGGAGGGAAGGGCTGGCCTGGCCCACGGTGCAGTGGGCAGAGAGCAGTTGGCCTAGAAGCTGTCCCCGGGGGTGGTCATGAGGGCGCGGCAGACAGACAAGAGCTGACTGCAGACTCCAGTGTTCCATCGGACTTCACTTACAAAGCACAAATTCAGACATAAAATTATTAAGCATTGCAAGATGGCGACTACAGAGCATTAGGGCCCGAGCATGGGGCCCTGGGGACTGCCCTGGCTCTGGATCCCAGGAAAGCTTACCCATGGTGTGCAACTTGCAAACATTTCCAGCTAATGGCTTCCAAGAGGCCAAGTCACAAGCTTGTGAATTTAATGGAAAAGCTTTTGGTTGAGAACGTGACATGTGGCTATTCTTATTTGGAAGTGAGTTTGAAGCAAATCAGAATGTGAACCCCTCCCGCTCTTGGTGAGGTGGATGTGTGACACGGGTGTTAACATTTGTTGAAACACACAGAGCGTATATACTTTAAGCGGATGCAGCTTTTGTTATATGAAAATTATACTTCAGCACAGTTGACTTAAGAAAAGCCACTGTGAGGGTGAAATACTCTGTGGGACCTGAGGACCACAGTGACTCAACTCACCCTTCTAAGTTGGTGGCAGAAGCATCCTTTCCATTTGGTTTGGATCCCTGAGGTTAATCAGCTTTAACTATGTTTAATTATGGATTTTTTTAGTTCCACTATGTACCTGATATAACTTAATATTTGTTATTGCATTTAATTGTTATAATAACCCCACGTAGCAGGTATTCTTTTGTCCAGTTGGGGTGGTTTTGCCCATCGGGGGAACTTTGGCAGTGTCTAGAGACATTTGTGGTTGTCACGTGGCGGGGGGTTGCAGTGAGGGAGGGAGGGTGACACTGGCATCTAGCAGATCAAGGCCAGGGATGCTGCTAGACATCCTCCAGTGCACAGGATGGCGCCCCCAGGACCAAATGTCAGTCGTGCCGAGGTTGAGAAACTCCACTCTGATCTGTCCTGAAAGATTCAAGGTGACGATGTCACAGGATGAGTAACTTGGAGGGGTGGGGATTTTAACAGAGCCCAGTAGTACGTCGCCCTCGTTTACTCTGGACAGTTAGGAAAGAATTAACGGCAGAAGGTTGCCCTCACCATCACCCACGTAGAAAGCACTCTTATTCAAGGTGCTAATTACAGCGTTTTGTTGCCAGTGAAAACGAGAGTCAGATTTCATGATTGATTCATGATCCTTTTTAAATTAATGCTGCTGTTATCACACAAAGCAGTGGTAAGTGGAGGGGAGAGAATTTTTGCTTTGGGATGCTGAGTCAGCATCGCCGTAAACACCCAGCAAACCCATTTATCTCAACCTTAATGCTTAGCTTCTTCTAAGCTCTTCTTAGGTGCCTTTCGGCTTTTTGATATTCTTTGGCAGTGGTAATTTATTAATTGATTTTTAAATCTGGCTTGTGAAAATGAACTTTAGTGAGGGGTTTGAGGAGAATGGAACGGCCTGTTTGTTTTTTAGTAGCTGGTTTTTCATGCTTAGCCTTAGGGAGTACGGCTTTCATGCTTAGCCTTAGCAGTAGAAGTCAGGTAACCTGGCAACTAGGAGGTCTTAGACCCCCAGCTTGCTCACGTCACTGATGAAGAATCACTTGCTCAGAGAAGGACTTTGTATAACATACATTTTAATGAAAATCACTGATATTAAGTGACCCCCTCATCAAATGTATCCTAACATAGCCTCATACAGATGTGCTCACCTATTGAATTATTCGGTGTTTGCACGTATATTTTGTTTTGTTTTATTTTACATTTTACATTTTGTTGGCTTTTTTTTTCCCCCCATGGCAGTCTGATGAAGCCTTCTCAGAATGTTTTTAAATGTGTACTGTAAAATACTTGCTATAATAAAAGGCACCAATTATACTTAGAGTTCTGTCTGTGACCCCAAGGCATGTATTGAAGCAAAACCACCATGTGATGTAATCATAGTTTTAGAAAACAAACTCCAAGAGAAGTTTTGTGGATGTTTCTATGTTGCTATCTGAAATTCTTCGCCCTGTAAACTTCATTCTGGTCCAGCTATTGGTGACAATAATGATTTTTAATATTTATAGACTGATTATAATATTCTGGTTGCCGTGCTAACCTTTTTACAGCACTTATCTCATTTCATTTTCACGTCTCTGTAAGGTAGGTTATGCTCATTCCACAGGCGAGAAAACGTAGGCTCAGAGAAATAACATTACAATCCAAGTTTGGAACTAGAATTTCAAACCTGTGCTTGGTCTTAATCCCTTCTCAGTCAGTTGTCTTCCTTTCATTAACACTGATTGTATTTTATTTCACTGTGGTTCTTTGGAGTTGTTTATAGCTTAGGAGTCTTGGCATATGTTTATTAGAGAAACTTCCTAGGTTCCCCGGAACCTAGCTGCTGATAGGCTGAAATCAGACAAACCAAAATAAAGATCTCCATTCAGCTTCCCAGCCCCAGTGCAGACTTTGACATTCAGAAATCCTGGGCATTTACCTTCAGGGACAGCGGTAGGCAAGGGCAGCACTTCCATTCTCCAAGATGGACAGTTTCATCAGTGTCTCCTCTGTGTTCCTCCTTAGGATGAGAAGGAAGGGCGTGAAACCCTTTTCCAGACCTCCCTTAGGTTAGGATGAGTCATTTGACTAAATTATGCAGCCTGCTTGGTTCAAACAATCAGACATTGAGAATGTGATTATTAACATTGCTACCTAATCTAATACATTATTATCTTACACCAAAAATTATCTTTTGTATTTTGCTACCATTTCTTTCAGTTTTCCCCAAATGTCTGAAGCTGGATAATTAGAGACAAATTGTTGAAACTTGCCAGTTACAGTGACTTTTTCAATCTCTTGTTGTCCACAACCTCCCTGCCCTTGTTAATAACTCTCCTGGTAAAATCAGGTAATGGATTTCCAGGTACAAGTGTTTCTTTGGATCAAATTAGTAGCAGAGGGCTTCCCTGGTGGTGCAGTGGTTGGGAGTCTGCCTGCCGATGCAGGGGACACGGGTTTGAGCCCTGGTCCGGGAAGATCCCACATGCCGCGGAGCAACTGAGCCTGTGTGCCACAGCTGCTGAGCCTGAGCTCTAGGACCCGCGTGCCACAACCGTTGAGGCCCGCATGCCTAGAGCCCGTGCTCCGCAGCGGGGGGTGGCCACTGCAATGGGAAGCCCGCGCGCTGCAGCTAGAGAAAGCCTGCGTGCAGTAAGGAAGACCCAAAGCGGCCAAAAGTGAATAAATAAAATAAATAAATTTATAAAAAAATTAGTAGCAGAATACGTTTGAATGTTGACTAGCTGAAACTTAAAAGAACATGGTCTAGGTCTTCAGGCCCCTGGTTTCACTGTTATGCATTTTTATGTTTTCAGAACACATTGTTCTTTTTCTCAAGGGAACAAAGCAGGACTCAAGTAATAGATGGATCTATCAGCCAGTCAGTCCCCACATTAGGAATGTTTTGTAGAAGTTAAGATAGCTAACAATAGGCATGGCCCCTGTTAGTCAAGGAATGCTGGAATTTTTTTGTGTGAATTTCCTATCTAGAGAGGAAAGGGCTTCTTAAGGTTAAGAAAGCATTGTGAAGTGCGACATGCCCAGCACAGTACTATAAATTATGGGTATACACATTCAACATCTAAAAAATATATGCTTGCAAATACAATCACATTAATACATGCTAAACAAAAGGATACTTGCAAGTGCAAAAAATATAAGTCAAAACGTTCATTGCCCCCACCCTTTACAGAAAATTACCTTGAACACTGGCTTTGTCTTTTAAACTTGGATTTAAATCAGAACCACGTGAAGGTGCCTATTAGAAACGCAGATTTCCCTATTCTGCTCTGGGTCTCTTGAGTCAGTCTCTGGAGTTGGGGGATGAGCTGTCTACTCTTTCACATCTCACCAGGTGGCCATGCCGAGTTTGAGAGGCGCTGCTGCTGCTGCTTTTTTTTTTTTTTTTTTAATACATTTATTTATTTTATTTATTTATTTTTGGCTGCATTGGGTCGTCTTTGCTGAACGTGGGCTTTCTCTAGTTGCAGCGAGCGGGGGCTACTCTTTGTTGCGGTGCGCAGGCTTCTCTTTTTGTGGAGCACGGGCTCTATGCACGCGGGCTCAGTAGTTGTGGCATGTGGGCTCAGTAGTTGTGGCTCGCAGGCTCTAGAGCACAGGCTCAGTAGTTGTGGCGCACGGGCTTAGTAGCTCTGCGGCATGTGGGATCTTCCCGGACCAGGGCTGGAACCCGTGTCCCCTGCATTAGCAGGCGGATTCTTAACCACTCTGCCACCAGGGAAGTCCTGGGAGGAGCTGCTTCTGAAATAAAACTTGGGGAAAGCGGGGCACTCCATTTGGACACCTCCATGTAGAAATGGGTAGGTAATCGATAGAAGTACATATTCTGGCTTAGCTTCTTTAATTTTCTTAAGAGGTTATTAATTGTCCCTCTGTTCATTTAGTTGCCAAATGTTCGTGGGTTCTGCCTGTATTTGGCAACAGAGCATATCTGCACTGG